TATATATATAGTCAACATCTTTCAACCCTATACTTTCCCACTACTGAATTAAAGTATTGTTTAAGAGATTTGCTTTGCTGAGTTGATTATATTTTAAGAAACCGAAATGTCCGCATTGATTCTCTTTCCTGTTTTCAGCAACTAAGAAAATTACTCAGATGTATTTCTTTTTCCTTGTTACCTTATTGTTTTCACTCACTTTGCTTACCGGAATAAAATGAACTTGTTGACATCTTCTTAGATCTCTTTTTAACCATGTCCAGCCTCAGTATTTCTTCTGTGAGTGTGTCATGAATCAGCAGGGATTAAGTAGCAGCCCTCTCAGTATTAATACCACACTGCTGAACAGGGAAGGTAGACATCAGTGGGGTGCAAGACTGAATGAATAATACAAACGCTTTTGACGTCAGTGTGGTATTAAAAGTCATTGAGGTGCTTCCAGAGGATGCTGCAGTGAGGGTTTAGCAGTGGCACTTCAGCAAAGTCTTGTCCATTGTCTTCAACAAATGGCAGCACTGCTCCAGCTTTCAGTTGTGAGGGAATATATACACATACGTAATATGGAGATAACAAGAGTTGCAAGGCTCTTGTCCCAGGTGTACCCTTTTACTTTGACCTGCACAAATAGTCCGTCTGGCCTCCAARAACTGACTCAGAGACTGTGACATCTGCTGAGCGAGTGTCGGCTTTCATATTAAGATCCTGGCATTCTACCCAAAGAGCAAAGAGGAGTCCCAGGCTGAGAATCTCAGGCCTCCTACCAGCTCTCCAAAATGCCAAACTGCTGTCAGTCATCCACCAATCCGTGCTATCTATGGAAAGTACTGGCAATGGATTGACTGGACTGTAGGGTTGAAGCATGCAATGCCATAAACTGTATTTGCAAAGTAAACTCTTTGACAACGCCATAGCTAAATGAACTAATGTCATGTTTTCTTTGTTTATTTTGTTCGCAGTAAAGAAAGCCAAGCTCGATGGACCCCAAGGTGAGCCGCGAGCTCTCATTAAGTCAGATGTTTAAAGTGAACGGACAATGGTGCAAGCTGGTGATGTGTTTATCTGACCTCTTCCAGAGAAATTTAACGCATACGTGACACTGAAGGTGCAAAATGTCAAGAGCACCACCATCGCTGTGCGTGGCAGTCAGCCATGCTGGGAGCAGGACTTCATGTTGTAAGTGGCTCTTTTATCTTTTCTGTGCTTTTATTGCAACACGTTTCTACATTTAGATCCTCTGGTTGCAAATATACCTGAAAAAAAGTGCTGCTTGGTGGTCTTTTGTCCTGTTGTTTTATGTGCCAACATGCTTTTATTTTGAAAACAAACATTAGAATGAAAGCATTATAATGTAGGCTTTTCATAAATAAGACTAGTTGTAATATTTCTGTCCCTGTGGTTTATAATGACATGCAAWTATCACCTATTAGCCTGAAGCGAATAATAGATACTGTTTTGTCAAATAAAAGAGGGGTATCCTCTCAGGGTTGTACTCAGGCCAGCAGGGTCAGCTCTGGCAGTTATTTTTGGTTTCTTACCTCCATTCAGCCTCCCTGCTGTGGGGAAACAATGACGTAACATCSAATGTCCCGATCCAGATTTTTTTGGTCCCGATGCAATCCGATTTTTTTAATGATTAGTCTTTTCGATACCGATCTGATAGCTTTATTTTTTAAATTCCTTTCCAAGTGTCAAGGTTGGTAGTATTAAAGCGAGCCCTGCTGTTCCCACCATAAGAAACATCCAGTTATCAGATTTTGCAAGATGCAGTTTCACCATCATTGTTTTCCATTGAAAAGTGTTCCCACACTGTGGACATGGTTRCATACTTGTGTGCGTCTTGACTTCTTAACAGTAGTTGTAAAGCATGATGATGCTGAAAACTGTCGCGAAAACTGGATCGGTCTGATCACATGACTAAATCAGAGTCTACCCGATTTTCAAAAAATGGCCACATCTGCCACCGATACAGATGCTGAGTATCTGATCGGGACATCCCTAAACATCTCTGCTGATTTTATCACTGCTCACACACCCAGTTGAAAGGATTTCTCATGTCTTTAAGTTTTCTCAATACCTCTGAACGTCTTCATATTTGGAAATATTAAAAAACAGCTGAGATGTTTTTTCCTGTTTAGGAAACTTGTGTTTTTTACCACTGTTCTGCGTGCTGCACAAATATCAAGTAAATTAAACCCTGATTACTTCTTTGGCTCTTCAGTAAACAGAAATATGTAGTTTCACATTGTTATTATTAGATTTTCACTCATTCCAGATATTCACAATACATCTTTGTTAGCCCCTGACAAGAAGTACACATATTGTGCATATGAACTCAGACTCCGCCTCCTGTTTGAACGAGTCTGGGTTGTTCACCCAAACTCTTGAGCTCGTCTAAACTTTTGTCCTCTGTTTGAGGGATAAAAAACCAGCCATCTGAGCTTTTTTTTGCTCTTTTTGTTTTTTCTCTACTTCCAGGTTTACCACCCTGCCATTWGTTATGTACCTTGATTTTTTGGGTTTGCCTTGTCTTGTTACCCCCTCCCCACACCCAAGTCAGGTTTTTGTGTTATGCTTGTTTCTTGCCCTCCATCTTGTGGTTTCCCCCTTCATCYACATGAATAAGGGATATTTTTGTTTGTTCCAGGAGCYGTCTCTTAGAGGGGGGGTACTGTCACAATCTATRTATTTTTGTTACTATTTATTATGTTTTTGCTTTTTGTGATTTGGGAATCTTTGTGTTTGAGTTATTTGTGTTTTCTTGTTAGTTTAGATCAGGGTTAGTTTTTTGGGTTTTTTGAATATTATTATTRTTATTATTATTTTAAGCTTTATCTGATCATTTTTAATGTTACTTTGGCTTTACTCTCAGTTTAGATTTCTTCCAGCCTGTGTTGTACTTTTCACAAATGTCCTTGTGCGTTATGATTTATCCACAGTGAGACACGCCCACTCGCTCCTGATCCTTGTTGTCCCTTTACAGGTGTTTGTTATTCTGATGATTAGCTTGGCACTATATATTATGTTGGTTTTGTTTTATATTATGTTGGTTTTAKTTCTGCATTATACCTTGGTGCTCATTAAATCCAGATGTTCTGTACTTTGTTTTGGTGTCACGTCACTGTGTTATTTTGTTTTGTAATTAAATCAGATTGCCTTTTAAATATCTGGTTTGTGGTTGTTTACACTTAGTTTGYCATGGCTAGTATTGAAACCCAAAGTATTTAATGAAATTTTATGGAAATTTAAAGCTTAGACACTCCTACCTTTGCTATGTTATTTCTGTCCAGCAGCCTTGTTGACAATCACCTGTTCTTAATGCTGAAGAAACCATTTACTAAACAGACTGAATCATAGTGCATCTCATCAGCAAATTTCAAGGCAAAAAGATTAAAATTTATGATGAAAATCCTCTGTTTCAGCTGTCTCTTTCTGTTCATTTGTACAGTTTATATTTCTTTTTTGTATCATTATTTACTGTTTTTGCCGAGCAGTGAAATAAACCGCTTGGATCTGGGCCTCACAGTGGAGGTGTGGAACAAAGGGCTGATCTGGGACACCATGGTGGGAACCTTATGGATGCCTCTGCGCAACATACGGCAGTCCAATGAGGTACACGCCTACTGCACATGCACACCACTACTTCAATCTGTGAATATATTTACATTTTTAAAATAATTTTTAAAATTATGTGAACTTTGAGAGTTTTTTAATACATTATTTAAAGTGAGAAAATAGTTCTAAAATCCCTGTTTTGAGCTGTAGTTCATGTATTTATCAGCTTCATACTTCATACATGATGGTGTTATGTGATGGAAATGGACTTTTTATATACATTTCTAAAATGTCRTGCTAATAGTTTTAAAAACTGAGAAATGTGTCCAGTGCTGTAAAAATTTTATTGCRGACATTTATTTGAAAGTATTGAATCAAAGATTAAAAATGTTAATTTGCTTTTGAGCTAGGTGAAAGACAAGTGTCTGCAAACATTCTGGGTAAAATCCCTACAGAAGTGACAGATTAATTAGGATTTAGATAATTRCATATTCTTTAGTCTTCTGACTCTCTAATTGATTTAAAATATTTACAATTTTTTTCTTATAGGCAAAGTTTTAGGGATAAGATAACCAATTTAACTAGCAGCTTTACATAACCTTTGCTGTTGTTGTAATTTCCGTTTGGGATCAATAAGTATTTTGAGTTAAAAAAAATTTGAATTGAATTGACATATTCAACCATATAAAGTTTTTTTTTGGTCCATCTCATATAAAATGACAAATCGAAAAGTACCGTTGTGCCAGATATAATGTCCACATTTAAAAGTTAGTTGGTGGCATTTAAAGCTGAACTGAGTTTAAATCCTGAGTGAATCTGTGATCATTTAAAGTAATTAAACATTACTGTAATTTGTCTTTTTGATGTTNATATTTATGTTTGTGGTTGTAATGTGACAAAATATGGAAAAGTTCAAGGGGTATGAATACTTTTGCAAACCACTGTATAATGTCCACATTTAAGAGTTGGTGGCGTTTAAAGCTGAACTGAGTTTAAATCCTGAGTGAATCTGTGATCATTTAAAGTAATTAAACATTACTGTAATTTGTCTTTTTGATGTTTTTTTTAATCTTTTATTTTTTGCAATTGCAGGTGTTCCTAATAAACTACATAAATAACAACAAGTATTAACATTCTAGGTAGTRTTAATATAAATAATTACAGTGGTTTGAAAACAACCGTGTTTATATTTTTAATCACATTTTTCCTCTTTGCATCATTCAGTTTGATAGGGCAGGTTTTTTTCTACAACTTTGACAAGAATGTTGTTGGATTTTTGTGTTGATCAAGTATTTATATTGGGATTWTATTAAACTTGGATCAAATGAAAACAGTCTAATTTATTTTGAAAACTGATAAAGTTTTTCATTTGAGCTGAAGTTTATTTGCCTTGTAATAAAGTTAATGTTTGGTTGTTTTTAGCCCGTTGAAATAAATGTTGAATTAGCTGCCAGTTGAATATTAAGTTTTGTTAGCCATAGAAAAACAAAAAATATTGTGCGTTTTTTATTTGTATTTTTTTGTATTTTTTTTTTTACATTTGTATAACTAAACAATCTAGAATGTGGAGCACTGTTTAAAATCAGACCTCAAGCACACACTATAAGATACTCTGCCTTTATAATAAAGTACTGTAGAAGTAATATTACTCCCCCGTCTTGTCCAGGATGGTCCGGGTCAGTGGCTGACCCTGGACTCTAATGCCATCATGTCTGAGAATGAGATCTGTGGAACCAAAGACCCAACCTTTCACAGGCTGCTGCTCGACACTCGCTTTGAACTGCCATTAGGTTTGGCTTAAACTTTTTAATTTATCACTATATTGGTACACTTTATAYCACCTCTGTGTACTTTTTGATGTTTATTGAATGACTGATAGCTGATTACGTTCTCATCCTAAATTTAGTTTTTCTACTAAAATGTCAAGTTTATTCATTATTAGTAAAACCGTTCTATTCATTTAGTAACGTTTTGATTGTATCAGTTACTCCAACTGATTTTGACCATTTTCATTGCTCCATCTGTTTAGGAAGACTCTCATGTTGTAGTAAACATGATTTTTCAGTTTTCTGTTATACTCGGTGCCTCTTGCAAAAGCTATTACTTTAATGTGACATTCTTAAAAAATAATATGATATTCTCAGTGCTTATTAGAGAGTTCACAGAGGCTGAGRCTTGAACTGTGCATCATAAGTAACTGATATGCTGAGTGGAGTGTCTCTGCTGTGCTTTAGATATCCCAGAAGAGGAAGCCAGATACTGGGCCAAGAAACTTGAACAACTTAATTCAATGAGAAATCAAGATGTAAGAACCTCACAGCTTTCTCCAAACTATATGTCATCAATAGTCCTTCATCTTATTTTTACTYTTTCTGTTCTCAATCATTTTACTGCCATTTTTTAAAAATGTTTTCTAGTGAAAAACAGTATTGTTTCTGCTAACATGTCTGTTTCTGCTGTGACCTCAGTATGCYTCTGAAGAGGAACCAGAGCGCTCGCTCCACGCTCCCTCCACACAGTGCTGTGAGTGTCAGCAGCCTCTTCTGCATCCACCTCCTCCTGTGATGTCACCCGCTGGGTCCCTTTTTTGTGCCTCTTGTTTTTCCTCTCCACACTCCCTCTGCTCTGTTGCCTTGTCTTATTGAGAAAAGGACCAGACAGGAGGTGGAGATGAAGCTAATAGATGAAACAGAGGAGAAGCRAGGAAAGACGACATGATTAATCACAAGTGCATGCCTGCCTGAGCACTGGAGTGACTTTTAGGCAGTAGACGTTTGCACTGCAGARGCTTTGGTTGGTGCTGCGCTTCTTGTGTTTGTGCAGAAATTAAGAGAGTATGAATGTATTAACTGCTTGTAGCAACTCAGCAGCACCAAGGCCGAATGTCTTTACAAAAGTCCGTTTTCATACAATGGCCTTGTCATTTTTATCTTTGCTCACACAAAGGAGCACACTCAGTTACCTCTCGCATCAGCTCTCTGCTCACATTTTTACACCTCAAGATAGTTATTTGTCAGGGTTTCAAACCTTCACAGCTTTGATCAGCTGAAATGTTTAACTTGTGGCTAAAATCACTTTTTCCCCTGAAATCTTTATTTCTCTGCAGGTAATTGGAGTCTTTGGGGAGATCAGCAAAGTAAGTTTCCTTTGTGTGAAGTCRGTTTTTACTGTTCTGTGTGTGACAGAAGGAAAAGACAACAGACTTGGCAATTTATACCAGCATCTAATGGACTTTGTTATTTTCTTTGGTTATCTGGTGAACAAACTTTTTTACCTCCTGTGTTGGAAGAGAAGTGACTAAATTATAAATTTATCATGAATCACAAGCAATACTAGATSCTTCAGTTTATTGCAACAGTACCAGTAATCATCACCAAATATCCAATGGAATTTAATTTTGATCTAATCTATATTCATCCTAACATAGTCTTTGCTCATGTTWTGACTTTAGATTTTTTCCTGTGTATAACATTCAACTCTTTGAAGTTAAGYAAAAAGGAGGCTCAAGGGAACAAAATCTTTTTTTTTCAGCTGTCAAATACATTTTGTTGTGAACTTTGAGTCTCTRTGGGTGCAGAAAAGTTGAGTTTAGTCTCTCTTCTTCTGTTTATTTTCTAGGAAAGTGCAGGTGTGTTTTGAACCAGATGTCTCAGCAGGAGATGTGTTTAAACTTGTCCATGTTTTCTGTTAATGGTCAGCTTGACTTGAAAAAAACATTCTGTCTGTGTCTGTAAGGAAGCAAGGTGTAGGTTTTTGAGATCAACTAAGATTTTGGGGATTGACTGTATAGATGACTGTGATGAAGGTTGGATTTATTTAAAATTATGAAGAAACCAGTCACTTCACRTGCATTTCTTTAGATGCCATGGGTTATTTAGTATTTTTTACCATGTCTCAATGTGTTGACCTCTTTTATTTTTCTCAAAGACCATTAATTGCATGTAAACTCATCTTTATGCATCCTCTTTGAACTTCTTTCAACTTTTATTTAGATTTCAAGGATGAATGAAAAAGTTAAACAYGACTAAAGATTTTGAATTTAAGTTTTTGTTTGTTTTCTACAAGGCCATAATTTTGCATTCATGTATTTTTGTGGCTAACGCTCCTTTTCCACTAGTGCCTCTACTGCATGGTTTAACTTGGTGCTCTATGGTTCCAAGGCTTTTCCACTAGCAAGGGTTCGTAGAACCAGCCCCTTTTCTAAAACTTACTTCACTGTGGTTCTAAGTGTACCATGCTGGCCTGAAAATGCCACATCAGAAGACTGTTGTCACTGATTGGTTAGAGGGTGGATTCACTGGTTGCATCACAAGAGCTACTCTCACAACAACCYGATCAGCCATTTGCAATAACAACACTACCATGTCCTCCATTGTTGTGTTGCGTATCCTTTTGGGATCTTATTCTAATGTGTTTAATGGTGGCTGGCAAATAGCTTAATGGAGCATAACCACCACCAGCTGGTAAGAAGTGTGGTATCAATTTTCGGACTCTTGGACAACCCAACTGTACAATGAACCCACCCACTACAGCTGTTACTGACGTGTAATAGAAGAGTTCAGCCAAGTCAAACCAYGCTGTAGCCTGGCCCTTGCCTTGCTATGCAGTTCTGCTCAATTCTAGTTTCCCTTCACTGCTCCGTCTGGGACTTCTCCCATAGAGAAGGATTTCGCCGGCAGATTTTTAACAGAACCAGTCAGAGAACAGAACATCGATTTTCTGTGCAGTGTCTGCTAGTCAGTTAGCAGTGGCAGTGGAGGAAGTGAATGAAGCCAGTCTGTGTTGATAAGGCTTCCAAATTAAATTAAATTTGTCTGACAAAGCAGCAGCTCTCATTTACAGTAGTCTCGTTYGGCTCGGTATATTTCTCCTCTCAGTAGGGTTGTTTACAGTGCTCGCGATTTCCGGTTAGCTTCTTAGCTTAGCCTCCTTCACAGCGAAACACTTCAGCAGAGGCCACGCCTCCAGCAAGAATCGCTTCTATATAGCAGAGAGTCCAGACCCTCTGTACGAAGCAAAGTGAAGGACAAGGGTCTGGTTTTTACCAGGCTAACCATGCTGTAGAGGCCCTAGTGAAAAAGGGCTATTAGATTACACCAGACTTTCCAACAACCTCACAGATTCTAAACACTGTATAACTTTTACTTTACTTTTTGTCTGATCAGACTTTAAATTTGACAAACACACCCTAGCTGTTCCTGTTTGTAAATCAGAGCAGTTTAAACTCTTAAAAGCAGCATTATCTCTGGACCGATTGTCCTCATCATGCCGTCTGACTGTGTCCTCTGTCGTCCTCTGTGTCCGTGTGAACAGACGAAGACCCAGACAGCGCCGTCGATGACAGGGACAGCGACTACCGCAGCGAGACCAGTAACAGCATCCCACCTCCTTACTACACCACCTCACAGCCCAACGCTTCCATGCACCAGTATCCCATGAGGCATCAGCAGTACAGTCACTCCTTCAGTGAAGACATCCACGAGCTGGACTACGATCACAGAACCATGAGGTAACAAGCTGCTACAACCACTGCTCAGCTACGACTCTGCGAGAACATGTGCACCAAGAAGGTGGTCAGGATATATAAACCCCAACAACAAATTTATATAAGCAGCATCATACTCTCCATCTTARACTAATTTGTGCCTAATTTGTAAATTCCCTTGGACTTCACAGAAAAATTGTTTTGTTTCCTTGTTTTGTACTTGATGACATGTCCCACTGTGTTCTCCTCTAGAGCTTCCCCCTACTCTCAGTGTATACAAGCAGACTTCTTGTATACAGGTCATGTATGAAGCAGGTTATCTTTTCTGTGTGTGTGTGCGTGCGTGTGTGCAGACCTGCATATTTGTGTGCATGTATGGCAATAAGAAACCCCCTGTTTTCATCATGTGCAGAAAAAAAAGAATTTTAGGACACAACGATCACTGGAAAATATTTACAAGACATTTTAAAAGTGACAGAAGATCCAAACTCAAGTAAAACTGAAATCAACTGTTTTGATTGTTTATTTATTTTTTGGTCAGGTTTAGATGCAGAATTTACAGGTGCTGGTCATAAAATTAGAATATCATGAAAAAGTAGATTTATTTCAGTAATTCCATTTAAAAAGTGAAACTTGTATATTATATCATACATTACATACAAACTCATATATTTCAAATGTTTATTTTGTTTAATTTTGATGATTACAAATGACAACAAATGAAAATCTCAAATTCAGCATATCAGAAAATAAGAATATTACTGAAGACCAATAAAAACAAAGGATTTATARAAATGTTGGCCAACTGAAAAGTATGAACATGAAAAGTATGAGCATGTACAGCACTCAGTATTTAGTTGGGGCTCCTTTGGCCTGTATTACTGCAGCAATGCGGCGTGGCATGGAGTCGATCAGTCTGTGGCACTGCTCAGGTGTTATGATAGCCCAGGTTGCTCTAATAGTGGCTTTTAGCTCTTCTGAATTGTTGGGTCTGGTGTATTGCATCTTCTTCTTCACAATACCCCATAGATTTTCTATGGGGTTAAGGTCAGGAGAGTTTGCTGGCCAATTAAGAACAGGGATACCATGGTCCTTCAACCAGGTACTGGTAGCTTTGGCACTGTGTGCAGGTGCCAAGTCCTGTTGGAAAATGAAATCTGCATCTCCAAAAAGTTGGTCAGCAGCAGGAAGCATGAAGTGCTCTAAAACTTCCTGGTATGTGGCTGCGTTGACCCTGGACCTCAGAAAACACAATGGACCAACACCAGCAGATGACATGGCACCCCAAACCATCACTGACTGTGGAAACTTTACACTGGACTTCAAGCAACGTGGATGAAGTGCCTCTCTTCTTTTCCTCCAGACTCTGGGACCTTGATTTCCAAAGGAAATGCAAAATTTACTTTCATCAGAGAACATGACTTTGGACCACTCACCAGCAGTCCAGTCCTGTTTCTCTGTAGCCCAGGCAAGACGCTTCTGAMGCTGTCTGTGGYTCAAGAGTGGCTTGACACAAGGAATGCGACAGCAGAAACCCATGTCTTTCATACGTCTGTGTGTGGTGGTTCTTGAAGCACTCACTCCAGCTGCAGTCCACTCTTTGTGAATCTCCCCCACATTTTTGAATGGGTTTTGTTTCACAATCCTCTCCAGGGTGCGGTTATCTCTCTTGCTTGTACATTTTTTTCAAACACATCTTTTCCTTCCCTTCGCCTCTCTATTAATGTGCTTGGACACAGAGCTCTGTGAACAGCCAGCCTCTTTAGCGATGACCTTTTGTGTCTTGCCCTCCTTGTGCAAGGTGTCGATGGTTGTCTTTTGGACAACTGTCAAGTCAGCAGTCTTCCCCATGATTGTGTAGCCTATAGAACTAGACTGAAAGACCATTTAAAGGCCTTTGCAGGTGGTTTGAGTTAATTAGCTGATTAGAGTGTGGTACCAGGTGCCATCCATTTTGAACCTTTTCACAAGATTCTAATTTTCTGATATGCTGAATTTGAGATTTTCATTTGTTGTCATTTGTAATCATCAAAATTAAACGAAATAAACATTTGAAATATATGAGTTTGTATGTAATGTATGATATAATATACAAGTTTCACTTTTTAAATGGAATTACTGAAATAAATCTACTTTTTCATGATATTCTAATTTTATGACCAGCACCTGTAATATAGAAATGAGAAGTCTTTCTTAAGCTTAAAGGATGGGTTCACAATGTAAATGTTTTTTGTTTGTTTTATTTTACTTTAGTTAAATATATATATATATATAATTTATTATAAATACACATTCTAATACTTGATTTGTTAACTTGGATAGCGATTTCCTTCTAAATCCCAAGGGAAGGAGTTCATTGAGGAGTAAATTTTGCATTAAAAATACACCTGTTTAATTTACTCATAAGAATTAGGCCTGTCACAATAACAAATTTTGCTGGACAATAAATTGTCTCATAAACGATTGCGATAAGTGTTAATATTGTTTGGAGACAGTTTTAAATTAATATAATGATACCCCCYTGCACCCTGCCTGCTTGCAAAGCTTACGGAAGTTTATGAAATTTCTGTACGTAAAAAAAAACTTCAGAACTGACCTGGGCCAGAGATTGAGAAACAACACAACAACAGCTGCTGAAGCTGTAAAACCACATCCCCACTCCTCCATCCAAGCCGATGCAATTTATTCTKTGTCTTCCTCTGGCTTCATAAAATAGCTGCGATCACCTTCACGCCACTTACGAAATTTACAGAAGTTTGCAAATTTTATGAAAAGTTACTGCCGGACTAGGAGTGGAGTTTGTGAAAACAACACAAAACAGCTTCTGAAGCTGTAACATCGCCACTCACCTCTATCCAAGCTATTAGCGTAGTTTGTTTGGTATGTCTTCATAAAATAATTGCAGTCACCTGCATGCTGCCTACAAAGGTTACTGAAGTTTATGAAATTTATGTAGTGTAAAAGGTAAAACAGCCCTCGGTGAACCCAGTGTTCGGCACGCTGCCCTATGGGCATCCTGAGGCGTCACCAGCTGAAAGAAGGCATCAGAAAACTGAAGACATGTCTCTAGGTTAATACCTGTTCACGGGGCTCTCATGCTACAGACGTTGCCAAACCATGGGCCTGGCAAATATCTGACGCAAGAGTTTCYTTCTCCCTACACTAAGGAGTAGAACAGAGGGAGACAAAGAAAACAGGTAGATTAAATTTATTAACCTAATTTTAAATTATCGACCTCATTTGAATTTATTGTGAGATTAATTGATTTGTTACTTATCATGACAGGCCTAATAATAATTCGGAGTATAGACTGTGGTAAAGAACTGGTCTGTTGACAGTCACCATGACCCACTGTTGCTCTAAAACTGAATTGTGAACCGATCCTTGACCAGGCAGATCAGAAGCCAGGTTGGTGAGAGCTTCATTGAAAAGATTTCCTCTGAGCCCTACTGATGCTCCTCTTCCACCTCTCCCCTCCTCCTCCTCCTCCTCCTCCCTCCCCCGCTCCCTCTGCCAGACGCTATGATAGTTTAGACTCTGTCACCAACGGGCGCAGCGATATCGACTCCGGCTCAGCGTCGAGCCGGCGCACCAGCCGGCAGTATTCTCTAGACAGTAGGCACTCGCTGTCCGATAGGTGGGTCTCTGTGCCTCCTCTGCAGTTTCTCCTCCTGTTGCTCCTCCTGCTCCGGCCTGTGACTCTGTCTCGCTGTGACGTCAGTGGTGGACTTGTCCCGTCCTCCTCGCTGGCTGTGCTTGCATGCATGTGCTCTTATCCTATCTCTATATTTGTATATTTTCTATATATTTCCACTACTGGCTCTGCATCTCTTGTTTTTGTGCTCCTGGTGAGGGGTCCCAGATTCAGCCACAACCAAAAGAACGCATCACACTCATCTCCTCCATTGTCTGGAGCGTTGTCTGTTTGTGTCGAGAGGGAGTGGGATGAGTGATTGACAGGAGGCCTGGGTGTGTGTGTTGTTTTCAACAGTCAGAGACGGAGAGGTTAATTGTTAGTTGGAGTTTGTGGAGCCCCCTGTGTGAGTGTGTGTGCATCTGTTGTTGTGACAGCTTGTTATTACAGCCTGTAAGAAAGGCCCCATTTGGTTCTGGGTGTTCAACACTTGGTAATTATGCACCATTTAATTCCCACTTGTGAAGCAGCAGGAAGATGTTAGGTCAATAACGTTGCCTTGGCAGAGACTCCGAGAAAGATTACTTTAATTTTCATCCTCATTTCGTGGTGTTTTTATTTCGGTTTTACAAGAAAAAAAAAGTTGGTCAGGAATGTATTTAGACTTTAGGCGTAGCGCAGCATTTGTCTCTGTCTTCATAAGTGAGAGATAGTGAGAGAGGTGATGAATAGAAAATAACAGGATTCATTTATACTTTTCTCCGGCTCACAGCTCAGAGCCGTAATAGAGTCCTCCCAACTCTGCTGCCGYGCTGTGCGTTATTGAACCACCATGACTGGAATCAATACAGATGAAAACCAGAGTGTGAGTGCTTGTTCCAGAGTGTTTAAGAAGCTGTTTATCTGTGCCTGAAAACTCTTTCTGTGACTCATGGTCTGTCTCAGTGTTTAGCAGGTTCATCCATTATTGAAAATAAATGTTTTTCACCTACGTTTCTGCAAAACAAGTCAGGGAAACAAATTAAACTCACCTTATTGGGTTAACTTAATTTAATCTAAATAGGTCTAGTTAAATCTTCTCGTTTGGAGGAATGTGTTAAATACATCCTATTTTTCTGTAGAATCTATAGAAACTTTTCTTCTTGTTACGAAATAAGACACTTCTTTGTAGTCATATAGATGCATAACTAACTAGAAGTTACCTTGATGGCTCATCTAAAGTCTTTTCCTGATATTTAGTTCAATTTCTGGCCCTTCAAACATAAGTTCCTTAATTGCGATAGTCTCCTTATCATGCAGAGCGGGGATCCCGTCATTTACTTTTAAGCCTCTTTGGTGTGTTYATCTGACACGTCTCTGTTTCTCCCACGCTTCAGTCCCACAGACAGTCGTTAYGCCTCGTCAGCTGAGCTGAGCCGAGGCAGCTCTCAGCTCAGCGAGGAGTTTGCTCCTGAGGATGGCGAGAGCTTTCAAGGTTCAGAGTTCTACGACGAAAACGACTCCTACCACTCCTGCCACTCCTCTGTAAGCTATGGCAAAGAAGACTCCCCCGGCTGGGATGGCGAGGACCACCAAGGTGTCTACAGTGATGAGGGGAGCTATATCAAATACGGTGGGGAGGAGGGGGCGCTGTACGACGAGGAGGAGGAGGGAAGCATGTATGCCGAGGAAGGGGAATACCACTACGAGCAAGGAGAAACGCCGTACGCAGAGGTTGTTGACGTGTTTTCAGTGGGCACAGCACAAAACAAAGATCAGGAGCAAACCTCGGTACCCACAAGCACCGCGTCCACCCTGATGCCCTCCTCTGATGGGCTGTCTTCCACCAGACCACCTTTGGAGAAGCAGGCTTCAATGCATCAGCAGCGACTGGCCCAGGACCCGCCCCAGTCTCCCAGCACAGCTCCTGAACTACCTCCAGTCTCACAGGACAGCATGTTGCCCTCTGTTGCTGCGAATTCCACCAAGCCTTCCTTCACACCCTTCGACACAACAACATCCACCCCTACAATGACGTCACAAGCTCCAGCTTTCGACAACAAAGCCTTGGAGCCTGAGCCCAAGTCTGAACCACCTCAGGAGGAACCTAAACCCCTTGAACCGCCTCCGGCGGCAGAAACAGTTCCACCCATTCCTGAGGGGAAACCAGAGGAGCCTCCTGTTCCAAGGTGAATGTTAGTTTTACACTTATCTGTATAACAAATAACCAGTGGTGGGCACAGTTCCACTAATCTGCTATCAGCGGAACTATTTTCTCAATTAGCCGATTTGCTTTTTTGGAAACCATTAGCGGACCGATTAGCTTCAGCTGACTTTGATTCCACTAATTTTAGGTCCACTAAAAAATTCAGAAGTGTTAAACTTCTATTTTTATGCCAAATTAAATAAAAACTACCCCCTCTTACAAGCAGCGCTGGATGTGTGTGTAGCATTTAGCATCTTTAGTAACCAAGCTTCAAACTAACAGCATAAAAAAAACTAAACAATATTTAAATAACGAATACAAAAATTGACTACGTATAAAATATAGTAGATAAAGTATTTGCTATTTTACTAACTTCAAACAGTATGTATAAAAATCCAAATTTGATCAAATAAATGCTTTTATTCTGAAAAGGGTAAAGTGAAGATATCACAAATTAGACAGGGCTATAACTGGTTTGGATTGGCCGATTTGCCACAGATGATCCCGCCCAAATTCAGATTAAACCAATAGAAAACTAACGGCAGGTTTGCATCAGTCCAACCAGTCTTCAACTGGAAAGAGACAAAGACGTGTGACAGTTGTTTTAGCGCTTAGTGGTTGTTTCAGCTAATTTTGTAATCTGCTTAGCATTTTAGTGTTAGCAAAGAAAAGATTCTTGTTTAGTGAATTAGTTAGTGAACCTAACTTTTTGGTGCCCACCCCTTCAAATAACAAATAAATGTCGCATATTTTCATTTTGATAAACTTGTCTTTTACCAAATGATGCCTAATAAAACCAAAACCATTGATACTTTAAAATAAAAAAAGCTAATTTAATTTTCCTATGACTTCATTTGCATTTCAGGTTAACTATTTAACACTAAAATACAATTTGTGTATTACTAAATTCATTTCATGGCTTGAAGTATTTAAATATTTTATTTATTTATTTATTTATTTATTTATTTATTTAATGTTTTCAGCTTCCCAAAAAGAGAACTCATGGAGCCAGGACACGCCAGAGCGAAGGCTAACTGGCTTCGACTTTTTAGCCGCGTTCGACTGCAGCTGCAGGAGGTACAGCCTGCCTCTTTGTGTTTCAGTGTACAACTGTTGTGTGTTTTCTTGCATACCTGCCAGGTGAAGTATGTCCTCCTTGTAGTTGCTCCTCTGTAGTTCATTAATGTTTGATAAGTATGATCTGTTGCATCAATCCCTGCATGTCGATCAAATAAAATGTTGTTTTTGTTTTTTTTACAGAAATTGTTGCCTTTTTTTCCTAGTTTTTGGTCACTGTTGTGGATTCTTGGTGTCTTGTGTTTAGTATCTGTTCACCCCTTGTATTTGCCATTTCATTATTTTCTTTTCAGTTTTTTGCCATCCTCGTAGCGATTTGCATGTACTCCGTTGTGATTACCTGTGGCTGGAGCAGACTCTCAGGTGGGTGTGGCCAGTAGTGTGTTTGTTAATAACTTTTATTTAACCAAGGTYCTCCTGGGCCTGAAAGCAGCCAAGCATGCAGAAAACCCACTGAACATGCAAACTCCACACAGAAAGTTCCCAGCCCCAATTTGAGGCTTAAACCCTATTTGTCTGTGAAGCAACAGTACAAACCACTTATCCACCGTGCTGCACTGTGCTCTGTATTAATGGAGATCATGATAGAAAGCTGTTGCAAGTCTGTTAAGTGTCAATGTCAAATCCAGGCATAAATTTCAGCCCAGGACTGTTTCTGTGCATCAGTATGACGTTGGACTGTGTGTCTTTTTGTTCACGAGGACAAAGCGTGTGCCTTTAAGTAACGGAGCAGATAGAATTACAAAAATAATTATATAGCCAGCCATCTGGCAGAAATATGTTTTATTTTTTATAACAATAAGTGCCCCTTGCTCGAGATAAAATCACAAATCTTGTACACCACTCCACTTCATGTGAAGTAAAACCACACAGTTCCCATATTTATTTCATAAAAAGGCCAAACAATAGCATCATCTGTTCTCTTTTATCTTCTATAAACTTTTCATATTTCTACATTATCTCTAACATTTTGTTCCCATTTTATCCATCTGTCTGTCCACAGGCCCGAGGAGAAAGTGTTGGGATTGCTTCTCTGCTTTTATCAGCAGGGTAGGTAACCAAGATGCCCACACCTCCAAGGCTCTTCAAATCGATAAATTACCAACCAAAGCAAGCCTGTTGTGCAACGGAAGTGCGAGCCTGTTGTGTAACGGAGCTGTTGTGTCCAGATTCAATTCATAATATGTGTTTGTTTTTGTCCAGCATGGGTGGTGCTTTGTACAGCATCGACAGCATGCCAGACCTGAGGAAGAGGAAGGCTATGCCACTGGTCAGAGATCTGGTGAGTTTATTCAAAACTGGCTTAACATCCTTTTAAACAAGCGTTTTACATCTCCACAGTCAGGTTCAGCTTTTAACACTCTCATATAACATTTTATCCTCTTCTCCTTTCTATCTGTTCTTCAGCCCACTTCTTCCTTTTTATTTAGCTAACATACATTTTGCAGAACTTAAAGCCCGACAGGGTGAGCTGCAAGGTTGAGAGGCTGCTGACGAGGCTTCATCTTCTGACTAATGCTTTATGACTTGTCTGCTCTTGTATAAAACAGTCTTGGTATTACACTGGTATAAATCGACTACTGCCTCTGTATGTATTTGACTGTGATAAATAGGGTCCTATGAAATCTGTTTTATTTTTTCCAAAACTCCATCTTATCTTTTACAAAATTGGCTCTTTTCGTTTTCTTCTGAATTCCACATTTTCATTCTGAACATCTTTATTCACCTAAAAGGTGCGTGCTTTTAAAGTGATTACCAAATGAATAGTTACAGAATTCAAAATTTATTGGCTATTATTTCACTTTCTCTAATATAAATACGTGTTGTGGTTCAGCAGAACATTACATGCTTTGGCAAATCTCACATTTAAAGTTTATCGTTTTGTAAAAAAAAAAATTTATTTTGAACTTAGAAAAAAATGTCTCAAGGAAACATAAATCTACAAACCGTAACAAGTTGTGGACATTATGCTTATTTTTTCATTTTTTATAAATGGTAAATGGACTGAATGCTTTATCAAGTCCCTCCAGACCCCAAAACGCTTCACACTACAATCATTCATCCATTCACTCACACATTCACACACTGATGGTGGTAAGTTACGTTGTAACAAGGACACAACAGCTGGCCACACATAAAGGAATATTAGATTCCACACATATAGCAACAAATCTATGATAAACTCACGCCTCACTTCTACTGATGAAGCTGAACGTTGAAGAGTTTTCAGGCGCGTCTGTGTCACTCAGCTTTCTTCTTCTCCTGTTTCTGATGTTTTTAACAGGAAGTGGTCATCACATGTATTCTTGCACATCCAGTTGACCGTGTGTTGAAAAAACTTACAAAAACGTTGTCCTTCAGTTTCATAAAAAAATCTGCTGGGGTATTGTTCTGTCATAGATCTTGCGCCACGAATCGACGTTTTGTACKGGATTCCATTTTGTTTCTTAAATTCTGCAATTCCATCCGCGTTTCCCACATCGCGGAAATCTTAGGGCCCTAAATAAACAAAAATATTTGACATAATAAAGTGTAACTTTGTGTGTTCGTTCATCCTAAACTGTTGAACATCCTCTTTCAAACGAGATTAGCTAAAGCAGGAAAATCTCCAGCCTGGCTAATGTTTGTATGACTCSCTGCTTCTTGTTTTGTGCAAACTAAAATAAAAGGAATCTGGTGTACTTAGGAGCTCATAAATCATCTAAGAGGCAAATTTCCTACTCACTCCATAACTACAACCAAGTAATTCATTAAATGACTTCCTTCAACATCAGTAACCATCCAGCACACAGTGACAAGTGGACCCATGTGGGTTCTCCAGTGTTTGGATCCAGTCACAGATTCTGTTTTTCATACATTTGTCCAATGTGTCTAAGGTAATTAATTTGACTTTTTGTGTAATCTGAATAAGATGTACCTTTTTCATTATTCATTAGTTCAGATAAAATTCACGTTTAGTTACCAGAGTGGCCTATCCTTGTAAACATGTTCTTACTTTGGTTGATCAGTTTTTAAACAATACTTTCTCTGATACTGAATTTCTTCCTCTTCTTTTCTCCCGGCCACAGGCGATGGTGAGTGTTTTTTGTAATTGAAGCATTTATAATTGGTTGTCCTTTGTGTTGTTAACCTTAAATGTTTCTGTAACGTCTCAGAAAAACACTAATTAGATACTTAAACCTGCTACAAGTGTAAATAATGACAGAGTTAAATTATCTTAAGGTGATATTTTATTGTAATTATGGAGGAAATAATCTAAAGCAGGGCTGTTCAGCTAAATTGCTGCACAGTAACTGAAGGCCAACAGCTGAGGGGCCGAACATCCAGTAATTAAAGTCATTATGTAAATAAACTAAGTATTGCAAAGATCTGTTACCTTTTAAATTAGTTTATTTTGCTGCATTTAATCATGAATACAACACACAGAACCCAGTGTAATAAAAGTAGTGATATTAAAACAATATCAAAAACAAAAAGAACACATTATGCCTCCTATTTAACACARATATTTTAACATTTCTGAATGTTACATTTTTAAGCCAACTTCATTTTTACCAATCTTAATTTTATTTTCAACTGCTTCTAGTTTAAACTGTATAGGGTGCTCATAGAAATGATTTTTACCAGCTTTTAGCCAAGATTCAGACGTTTTAGATTAAAGAACATTAAAGATCGACTGATACAGGTTTTTTAAGGCCAATACCAATAACTTTGACATCAGTCCAATCGATACCTGAAATGCTGCCGATTTTTTTTTTTTTTT